TGGGAGGGACTGCAGACACAAACTGGGGACACTGGGACAAACCGGGATGGACTGGGGACACCAAGACCAAAACTGGGGATACTGGGATGTAACTGGGACACAGACTGGGCAAACTGGGATGGACTGGGACACCAACTGGGGACACTGGGACACCGTGGAGGACATCAGAGACCAACCCCCGCCACCACCCGGCCCTGCTGGTGGACCCCGGATGGGGACACTGGGGACACTGGGGACATTTTGGGGACACTGGGGACATCATGGTGGACACCGAGGGACATCTGGGGACATTGGGGACATCACTGGGGACATCACTGGACATTTGGGGACATCGAGGACCCGTCCATGTCCCCGAATTGGGGACACCTGAGGACATCATGGTGGACACCGAGGGACATCTGGGGACATTGGGGACATTGAGGGACATCTGGAGACTTTTGGGGACACCGAGGGACGTTTGGGGACATCGAGGGACTGACCCCCACCATGGCCTCGTGCTCCTCGTGGACCCCACCTGGGGACATTTGGGGACATCAGAACCCGCCTTTGGACCCCACTGCAGCACTGGGGACACTTTGGGGACATTTTGGGGACATTTTGGGGACTTTTGAGGACTTCGGGTCCCGCCCTTGGACCCCACTGTGGCCTTGGGGACATTTTTGGGACATTTTCAGAACATTTGGGGACATCAGGACCTACCTTTGGACCCCACGGTGGCCTTGGGGACATTTTTGGGACATTTTGGGGACATTTTCAGAACATCTGGGGACATCAGGACCCACCTTTGGACCCCACGGTGGCCTTGGGGACATTTCAGGGCATTTTGGGACATTTTGGGGACATCAGGACCCACCTTTGAACCCCACTGCAACACTGGGGACATTTTGGGGACATTTTGGGGACATTTTGGGGACTTTGGGTCCCGCCCTTGGACCCCACTGTGGCCTTGGGGACATTTTGGGGGACATCGGGACCCACCTTTGAACCCCACTTCAACTTTGGGGACATTTTGGGGACATTTTCAGAACATCTGGGGACATCAGGACCTACCTTTGGACCCCACGGTGGCCTTGGGGACATTTGGGGACATTTTTGGGACATTTTCAGAACATCTGGGGACATCAGGACCCACCTTTGGACCCCACAGTGGCCTTGGGGACATTTCGGGGCATTTTGGGACATTTTGGGGACATCAGGACCCACTTCTGGAGCCCATGGTGGCCTTGGGGACATTTTGGGGACATCAGGGTCCTGCTCCTGCCATGGCCACGTGCTCCTCTTGGTCCCCAATTTGGGACATTTTTTGGACATTTTGGGGACATCAGGACCCGCCCCCACCTCGGCGTCCCCAGAATGGGGGGGGACCCCAAAATTGAGATTTGGGGACACCCCTGGACTTTGGGGACCCCAAAATGGGACGGGGAGACCCTAAAATGGGATATGGGGACCCCCCGCAGGACATTGGGGACACCCCAAAATTTTGGGGACCCCAAAATTGGATTTGGGGACCCCAAAATGGGATTTGGGGACGCTAAAATTGGATTTGGGGAACCCTCCCCAGGACACTCCTCACCCTCAAGGACCCAAAAATAGAATTTTGGGGATCCCCCCCCCAGGATTTTTAGGACACTCCAGGATTTTGGGGACCCCCCCCGGGACATCGGGGACCCCAAAATTAAATTTGGGGACCCCCCCCCCAACCCGGACATTGGGGACCCCAAATTTGGGGGATTTTTGGGATTTTGGGGATCCCAAATGGGGACATTGGGGTGCCCCCGATGACGTCACAGGGGGTTTCCCCCTTTTCCCCTCCCCCCCCCCCCCCAAAATTTCGGCAATAAAACCCGGGGGGTTCCCCCCCCCGTGATGACGTCATCGCGTGGGTGTGACGTCACTCCGCGATGGGGGGGGGGGGGGATGGGATGCCGCGTTCTGATTGGTGGGGGCGGCGTGTGCCCCTCCCCCACATTCCAGCCAATCCCAGAGCCCCTCCCCCAAATTTTGGCC